AAAGTTTTGGTGCCGTTGCAAATTAAAAAGTGCGTGTGCGCGCAGCGGGAACTTCAGCTGAAGCGACGGTGGCTGGTAAGGGTCATCGCGCCGAAACCGCGGCCACGGTAAACCCACCGAGATAATATAGTTTTTTAAAAACTGGACGGTTATTTTTATTGTCAACTTTTTTACCGGGGTTTACCGCTATACCGGTTACCGTGACAACCCTAAGAAGGAATGAGTTCTGGGTGTGAAAAAGAATTTGGTTTGCATTAAACTATGAAGTTCGTTCTTATCAAAACGGCATTAGACGCAATCTTTCTGTGTTCTACGTACCCCTGAGGAGACTCTCTTTTGGATCCAAGATGTCAGGGGGGTCAGGTGACCCCAAGGTACCGAAGTTCGTAGAAAAGACCGCAGTACGACCAGGTCGGTCCAGAGTCGTCTCCCGGATCACAACAGATAGATGAAATCGTTTGCGTCTAGAACAGCTGTTTCTGAATAGCTGAAGGAACCATTTTGCTGTGTCAGCTGTAGCGTGTAGGCTCTTGACAGCTTGTCAAGAGATGCGGTGACTAGAGAGTTTTCCTCCGATGGCCAGCCAGTTAGCTCAACTAACAGGATGCTGAATCTCCCAGAATGATGGAATGATGAATCACTCCCCATTGATTCTGTTACTATTATTCTCATATTATGATTTACTTGTCTAATCGGGATGTGCCATGTTAAGGGGTGTTAACAACAGACCCTCAGAACATCACACCTTCTTTCAGATACATTATGACACGTCTCTAAATAAAGTAAAAATTTTCTAGTGCAGAGAGGAGCCAACCCATAGAGCCACTGATTTGATCTCATTTCAGAGAATAATAGAACAGGTTAGATGCACCTAATAAATAAAATTACTAACAAACTCAGGCATCTGTTGCTTCACTGTTCTGGTGCTGAGGATATCACTAATGCGGATCAATGGAGATACACAGGTGAATGCACCTCTTATTTATTATTTGGAAACTACATTTACTGCAGCTGGCGGAGATTTTTTTCTATTGATACACGGAATTTACAGAATCATTTAAAATTTTAATAGGGGAAGACTGCAGGAGGGAGCGGTAAAATACAGGGGCTCCCCAGCAAAAACAGGAATCTTTACGAGCCTGATGAAGCCCGCTGGTTTTCCATCGGGCTGTCACGGGTAGGGTTGTCACGATACTAAAATTTCAAACTCTATTCGATACTTGAAAAAAAAAACTCGATGCTCGATTTCGATACTATTTAAAAACACCCATTTATCGAACAAGTTTATTCAAAAAATAACATTCCTCAATTTATATTACAAAAATTAAATGTTAAGAATTAAGTGTATTAAGTGCTTAAACCTTTCAAGTATCAGCATTTTTTAAAACGTGCATACAAAAACTGGTGAAAGTTAACACTTTAAATCATGAATTGTCTCACTATATATACACTATTTGCAGAGTGATGTTTTGCTGCTTAAACTCTGTTTAAGGTGCATTTTTGTCATAAGATGTAATGCCATATGTTTTGTTCTGTACTTTTGAACAACTCTGTTGGTCAATAAAGGGAGAAAACGAATTTCTCCACAGTAGGTCAAAGGTACATCTACCGGTAATCTTAATAAAAACAGACTGGTGCACGGCAGTGACGTCATTAAAAGCGCCGGTTAGATTAGCCGCAGCTAGTCTGTTTACGCCTAGAAATCCCAGACCAGACCCGCTCCAAACGAACAGGGGAATCACGTTAATGATTCCTAACAAAACCTTTCGACATGAAGATGTTTTGGTGCAAATAATGTCTTATTTCGAGGCTGCACCATGGGTGCCCGTCCGCACCCGTTATATGGATATACGCTGACGGCGATTCGGCGATGGACCTACGGTAAATACCCCGGGGAATCCAAGTAGCACCAAAGTTGTCAGCGTGAGTAAACAAACGTACTGCATAGGGTTGTCACGGTATGAAAATTTAACCTCACGGTTATTGTGACCAAAATTATCACGGTTTTCGGTATTATCGCGGTATTTTTTAAACGGTGTTGCATATGTTCAGAAAGCATTGATAGTCCTGTTCTACACAAACTGAAATAGTTCTGAAAAGGTTTAACAATGTTTATTAAACCTAAAATAACACAAAGCCTTAGCAAAAGTGCAACTTTTCACAAGTAAAGGAACAAATAGCTTATTTTTCTGGAACATGTTACAGTAGTCAGTGCAGGTTTAAATTATACAAATCCAAACATTCAAAACATAAACAATATGTAAACAAATCAAAGAAACACCACTTGTTTTCTCATATACTTGTTTTCTTCATTATCAAAATGAAAATCTAAAACTCCAGTCCACACTTGACTTGAGCACTGTACAAGTCAACCTTAAAAAATATGTATTTAAAATAAATATCCACTTTAAACAAATTACTAAAATAACTACTACACTATGTAATCAAATCCAAATGTTCAAGTATAAATGGCATTGAATAAGTAAACAAATCCATGACAAGGAACTAATTGTATATTTCTCTTCATCATCAACAAATAAGATGCTTCATCCAGCAACAGGGTGTCCGTGACACGGTTTAAATGCTGGCAGAGGACGCTGCGGCTGCAGTATGTAGTGACTCGTTGCATTCTCCCTCAACCAAAAGTCCTCACGTCATGCATTTCAGCTAAAATGCTAATGTTAGCTTACCTTGCACTGGCTGTGGAGACGTGGGTGATCGTCACGCAGATGTGCCATGAGATTTGAAGTGTTGCTGCCTTCTGCAGACACTTGTTTCCTGCACGTTCTGCAAACGGGATAGCCGTCTTCTATTAACTGTCCCTCAGCATTTTTCAGAAATCCCAAATATGCCCATACTTCCGATTTAGTCTTCTTTGAGGGCTGATGGATGTCCTGGGCGCTGCCGTCTCCTCCTTCGGCCATTATTTCAGCTTCAAAGTTTTGGTGCCGTTGCAAATTAAAAAGTGCGTGTGCGCGCAGCGGGAACTTCAGCTGAAGCGACGGTGGCTGGTAAGGGTCACCACACCGAAACCGCGGCCACGGTAAACCCACCGAGATAATATAGTTTTTTAAAAACTGGACGGTTATTTTTATTGTCAACTTTTTTACCGGGGTTTACCGCTATACCGGTTACCGTGACAACCCTAGTACTGCATGCTAGAAATTAAGTCCGGGTTGCAATAAACGGGAGTTTCCTTTAAGCACATAAGCGTGAATATACAACTACGTGTCGGACTTGGTATGCTAATTAAGTTGGGCTGTGAAGCGCCTCCCAAATTCGCTGTTTATGTTTTTGTTTATTTATTTGGCAGACAAAACTTGGATCGGAGACAACTCGCGCGGGAAATTGCTATGTAGCCATGCGGCGTCTTCTTCTGTTTGTCTGGGAGGCGGAGGCTGCTTTACGGCATCTGGCTGTCGTGCGTGTCGGTGTACTTGAAGAAGGCTGTGTATAATAGTCCATAATATCGATACCACAGGGATGGAATATCTCATTTAGATACCACTTTTAGTATCGATTTATATCTGGGTATCGATTTTTTTGACAACACTAGTCACGGGGCAGCTCCAACGACCCAGTGGCTGTGCTGGGTCAATGTTATCGAGCTCAGTCCAGCTCAGCAGAGGGTCGAACGAGCCGAGGCGATGTCGTGCTCTGCTTAAGAAGTGTTATTTTCCAGCTTCAGAAGAAGCGTCCAACGTGTTTGTACGCATTCTCTGAGACATGTCACGTCGCTAAGTTGTTAGCGCCGCGCGCTAACACATCAATAGTGCAGCGTAGCCTGCTGGAGGTTAAGGGTTCAGATGAAACACCTGACCTCTCACGCTGCTCACATCGATCTTAAGTTGTCGCTGTTGCACTCACATCGTAATACAGTATTAGATGCGGTTAAAGACAGACACAAAAAAATACATTTTACACGAATAAGTGATGCTTAGCCTGGTGGGGGGAGGAGAACATGGCCTAATAAGCACTGGAGGAAACCCTGTCAAGATCGTCAACACTTGTTTATCTTAACGCTATTGAAACATGTAAACCAAAAGGCATTATATCCACTGATACCTTTCTAATTTTAAACTCAGTAACTTATGCTGTAACTTCACCTTGCCCTGCCTGCTCCTCCTTGCTGCCCGCCGGCTGTGATCACAAGCAACAACATAGTAGTTCCCGCTGCTTCTTTGGGAAACGGCGCAAAAAAACCAAACAAACAAAAAACTTGGGATCTTGTTGGCGTGGCGGTGGGATTTCAGCCGTGGCGGGCCGCCACGGCTACGCCTATGTAAGGGAAACTCTGTTATTATTATTCAACCATTATTGTTCATTCAATCATAGGATTATTTACTATTATAACGGTTCAGTCCTTTATTCTGTGCAGGACAGCCTAGATAAGCAGACAGGCTTGGCAGAGAAGAACCTTGAGAGGGGAGCATGATGTTGACAATACGTTGTCATGTGTTCAGAGCTGCAGAACCTTCTGGGCTTGTTGGAAGGTAGAATGTAAAATCCACCTTAGAGAATGGAATTTATGTCTGTAGATGACCGGTGGCATGTAGGTCAATCTGTAGGTGAAAACTGACCATTCCTGGACGTTACATTAGGAAAGCTGATTTACGGTCAGGCGCATCCTTGGGCAGCCCGGTGCTGTTGCAGAATTTAATTTAATGCATTTTTACGTTCACTAATATCTGCTTAACTTATTAACTGACTTAAAAACTAAGCTGTGCACAAAGCTGAGATTTAACAGTTGGTTAAAATAAGAGTTCAAAATTGGTTCAGCTATAGAAATTTTGTGCATCAACTAATGTTATTAGACGTTTTAGCATTAAAATTAGGTGGAAAATGTCTATCGGCCATGAAAATTGGCCATCTGCTGACCACGTGTCCTACATATTGGTGTCTGCAATAGAAAAAAACAATATCGGTCGACCTCTAGTTCACGTTTTTTTTTAGCATCTCTGATCACTAGCAATCCTGAGCTTTCCCCATTTTGTTTTCAGCTCTCAAGTAACAAATGCAGTGCGAGGACAATGGATGAGGATGTCACCAGGCTTGCAATACATTCCGAAGAGCCTAAAATAATAATCCACGGATCGGGTATGTTGTGTCTCAATACACAAAGGCTACGCTCACACTGCAGGAAAAAGCGAGTCAAGTCCCGATTTTTGTTTTGCCCTACATGAGAAGTATATCTGATATTTATATATATATATATAATTTTGGTGACCGTCTGAACAGCATGGATCTTCGTGAATGAACTGGAGCATTTTCAGGGATTACTAATATGGGAAGACGGCAGGAATATAATGAGGAGTAACATAGTTAATAGTTTTAAATTACTTTCCAAGTGGAAACCCTGACAGGTTTGATCCTGGAATTGTGGATGAACGGTCAGTGAAGGCTTTCACATCACAACTCCACCTCTCCCGGTTCCATCTGCGACTCGACTTCTGCGCATGTGGGCCGCTTTGGAACCGTGAACCATTCACACTGGAGAATGTTTGTTTTCGCATTTCAGTTATAATGTGAACAACCACATAAAACAAAATCACATTTACTCAAAAAGTCAGAATTGAGGAGTAGGACCTGCGGTGTGAACGTAGCCTAAGAAGGTGTTTGTTTGTGTTAATAGATGCTAGATGGTGGATATTTTTTAAATGTTTACAGTAAGATGACTAATTGCTCTAGATTGTCTGGTTAACCAGTAATCTTCTTATTTCAGATGACGGTGGTGCCGGTGGGCAGGAGTTTGTTGTCGAGCTTCAAGAGACCGTGTTAGTTTCAGAGGGCGAGGGTGAAGGCATGGCGGTTCACAGGTTTGCTCCAGACGAGCTAGTCATCCAGGATGCTGTCGAGGATGTGGTTTCTGAGTATGTGCATGGAGATGAAGATGAGGATGAAGATGTTGCTGTAGAAACCTGTGTGATGGCTCTAGAAGGCGAGGAGGAAGGTGTTGCTATGGGAGACATCCCGGAAGACGGTCTGGACCCTGAGCAACAGGATGATGACCAAGATGGCTGTGGAGACTATCTGATGATATCCTGTGAGTTTACTGCTCCGTAATGTTTATTTAAAGTTATTATGTTAAGTACATAATCTTGAAAATGGAAGAAAAGCATCAATTTAGTTTTTATTATTTTCCAGGTCTGGATAAAAACAGTTACTGCTTCTGCCAAAGAAACCATCTGAAGTTTCACAAACACCTTTTCGTCATCCACCCGTTAGTCTTAAACATTTTGGGTTGAGCACCTCACACACCCGGACACTCGTACACCTTAGCTTTTACCGTGGGTGGTTAAGATGCAAAACACAGTTCCGTTCTTGTCCATCCAAATGTTGAGTTTCCTTAAACGGCTTCTCTTTGCGAGGCATAGGTGTGCAAATTCGAAACTGATTGTAAAAACTTTAGAAGAACTTAAATTTAAATGTGCTCTATAGGTGCTGGCCATTTACTATATGGTGCATCTACTGTATACAGTTGTAGTGCTGCCATGATGAGTCGATTCGTCTTGATGACATCGACAAAATAGTAGACTACAAATTTAAGTTCATGTCGTTTATTCTAGGAGCATTTTTTTTAAGTCTGGCCTGCTGCGGCACCTTCGACGGCTGCTTTCTGCCTTTCTGCTCCAGGATCATGCGCAGTAGTGGCCATCCAGATCAGCCTTCCAATCAGAATCACCGGAGAAAGAAGATGTCACGTGTCTGCAACGTAGCTCAAACGTTTGGGAGCATTTTACAAAGACAAAAGAGAAGCATAGAGTGCAAAATCTACAAAGTGAAACTGCTTTCATGGGAGCACATATGCGTCATGGCTCTGTAAGCTAATTACCTCTTGTTAGCTGCTAACATCAACCGAGAGTTACTTGTATTCATAGGTGTAGCAACAACAGCAGTGATGGTGATTTTATTACCTTTAGATCACGTATGTATGTCACCTATTTGCTCTAATGTTACAAACACTAATGATTTATTTTTCCCGCTACGTTTCAGTGTTAGAGCGCTCCGCTTCAACAGACGAGTTTGCTACAAAGGAAAAATAACTGTTTTAGCTGGAAACATTTGTGAACACAATAGGGCTGAACGATCTATCGTTTTTGGACCAAAATTGCAATTTCAAACGGCACGATCACGTGACCATCAAAGTTGAGGTTTTAGCGGTGTTGACAGATCCAGGATCAGTTGTGTAACTTTTTTTACATCCAGGGTTTTCCCCTGTGTTATGGTGGCGGCAAAAGCCAGCGCGGGGGAGGGGGGTGGGGTGTACTGTCCAGAGCCGAGCCCATCTCCACAGCTGACAGCTGCATGTTCAGGTTATTTTCCCTTTTTAATGTTCCCACACACCGCGCTGCTAGAGCCGATAATAATGCACCGTAGGTGAGCCCGGGACAGAGAGAGAGAGAACGTAGTTGAGTAGGGGAGAGAGAGACTCCTCCCACATCGGAGCAGGTTCAGGCTGATTTCTAAAGCTTGGTTTATGCTTCATCAGTGCGAGTGCAGAGTTGCGCACTTTAGTTGACTTGAAAGCTCACCTTCTCTTTTAAAAATGGTTTGAATGTTTCTGATGGCACACGTTAGTTCAAACCGCTAAGGTGTCAGAATGCGTGCGTCTCTCTCACGGAGCTGACGTTTTAGTGAGGAAAAACTATCAGACGTCTTCGAAAAACGTGCAGCGTGCCTTGGTAATGCAGGGAAAACTGCATTTTTTTATTTAATACATTTAAAAGCTATTTCTGCCTTCAGATTTCCTCCATGCATTTTGGAGTAGACAGGGAATCCGCGGATCCTTAAAAAGTCTTAAATTGGCTTTTCCAAATTTAAGGCCCTAAAAATCCTTAAAAATGACAAATAATCCTTAAATAGAGTTTCCAAAGGTCTTAAATTACCAAAGACCCAATAAACAAGATTCTTTTATTTCTATAAAAATTTCGTGAATTTCTAGTTGGTGTTCAACATTTTTTGTTTATGATATTGGCGTAAGCGGAACTGTATACATTCATTTGGTTGTGAAAGGGGGCTATTTTATATGAGCACATTAGCTGGTTAAGCTAGTGGGAGCGTGCGCCATGGGGAAGTGTAAGCTTAATGTTAAATGGATGGCTAATCCCCACGTTCGCGATGTGGTTAGCACCGGTTCCAGGCAATAGCTGGAAATTATAGCTTACATTTCATTTGTAAAATAGCTTAAATTTGGTCACAGTGGCCTTAAAAAAGGTCTTAAAAAGTCTTAAATTTGGCTCCTTTAAACCTGCAGATACCCTGAGTAGAACATGTTTTTATAAAGCTCCTCTAGATAAAAATCACAAGTTGCTTCACAAACACATTAAAATAACAAAAGATAATATTGGGAGAAAATATTAATAGCGTTAACTGTTGTTATTGTATGATTAAATTGTAAATATTACTGTGAATGATTTGTTGTACTAGTTTAGAATCTAGACCATCTTTTTCTACAGGATGGCTTGGCAGGCTAGTGTTGGACCTTTGTTTGCAGAAAATCGTGAATTGAATCGAAATCGTAATTTCTGCTAGAAAAATTGCAATTCAGTCTTTTCCTAAAATTGTTCTGCCCTAGAACACAAGTCGTTTTTGTGTACAATTTATTTTTGGGTTTAGGTGCCTACCTCCATTTGACTGTAGTGTTTGTATTAACAGGTTACAAAGTTAATTAAAGGTTGTTTGATAAGCTATCATTTAGTCTTTATTATTAGATGGCACATAGCTGATTACATTTCAAACTAGAAGCTAATGATGGTAAATTAGAGCATCCTGGTGCAATAAGCTATACTTTTATGAATGACACGATGGGACATCTGTAGGGCTTAACGGGTAATTAAATGATTCAAGTCATTCAATTACAGAAAGTCTTCAAGGCAAAATGATTAGATTCGGTGCTTTGTTGAAGCCACATGACTGCACTGTAGTCCTTCACTGGGACAGTTGATGAATCAATCTAACTTCCTGTGCTGTGATTATTTTAGCTGCAGGATGCAAAGTTAACTCCACTCTCACAGACGGATGAAAACTATAGCCAGGGTTTTTCCTGGCTCAGATTGAGGCAGAGGTGGTACCATCACATGCGTACTCTGTGCATTCAACTGCCTCACTTTTTTAAAGGCAAAAATATTTTTTCGTTAAGTGTTCTATTCTAAGCTTCTGTTAATTAATTGAATATTCCATTTGACAACATTTCAAGTGAAACAAAACTGGTTTGCTGCTAAAAACATGAAATAAAACAACTAAATTATCAGGCTGAAATAACAGACTCTTATTATGAAAGGCTCGATAATATGCATTAGATTGGTGTTTAGTTCCTTTTTCCCATCTGATATTTATAGATTTATAGTAAAAATATTTTAAAATATTTGACCTCCATTTCAGTAACATTTTAGGTTTGTATTAACAACACTCATCTTAGTCACAATAACACATAAATATATCCAGTAAAATATAATGCATTTCATTAACATGCATTTGTATTGGAAATGGTAATAACATTTAATTTCTGCTGCTAACAATGTAATGGTGGCTTGTCTATTATGTACGAGTTGGCAATAATCCAGTTTAAATTAAGTTCAAAGGTACTGTAGAAGTGTTTGTGAATTATGTACTACAACGGCTTGCCATACTTCCTGTTCCTGTTAGACTTGTAGCAGTAATGTGACTCGTATCTGCAGCGGTTCTAATCCGTAGCGCTGCAGGATGCAGAATAAACAGGATGGTGGGGACTTTTCATCCGCTTGTAGAGTTTAGTCTTTCTTAGTTTTACGATCATCATATATTTTTTTGTGTGCCACTTGATCGTGAGACTCCTACCCGTTAGCTTTAGCATTATCCAATCTGCGTGTAGCTGCACGTTTGATCCCAAACTTTGGACCGGTTCTGCCTTTGAGCCCTTGCTGGTTCGTTTATTTTCCTCCACTGCATCCAGATGACCACACTGTGCGCCAGTAAAAAGCATTTTTCTTACACGTAACTTACTTTTGATCATAAAGTTCTGGGGAAAATAGTAATTCAAAGATGTTGCATCAGTGCTACGTTTAAAAATAAACACACGCACACAGACAGTGTTTTTCCTCGCACTGTACAGCCCTGCTCTGATATGGAAGAGCCTGGGGGAAAGGCAGGACGTCAATAGCACCAACCATAGATAAGTACCAATGCGAGAAAAGCTATTTTTGGTCTTCTTTTTCTGCAGCAGTTTTAGCGCTTTTCGGTGCACCGCTACTGATACAGCGCCCCTGAAGTGACGCAACGCTGCAACTGCAGTTAAAATTGCATCCATAAAGCTGGGGGCAGAGTGAAATCAGGCTGGGGTGGCACAAAAATAGCTGGAGGCGGCCGCTACGCAAACTTGAACGCAGGAAAAACCTTGACTATAGCGGACATGTTTGGGGAGGGAGATGCAATGCAATGCTGCACACAGGGACTCTGCTGGCTACAAAGTCTGAGCAACATGCAGTCAACTCTGAGAAGTGCTGATCAGAATTTTCAGATCACGTTTTATTTCACGGAGACCAGCGGCCGGTCTATGGGCTAATCTCTAGAAGCCACACCTTAGACCGCCTCTGCACATTTTCCATTATTGTGCAGTACGCAAACACTTCTGGCGGATTGTTTTTTTTTTTTTTTTTTTTTTTTTTTTTTGTTGGCATTTGGATTCTTCTTCCAGTCGGCAGACTGGGCATCGAAGCGAGGAGATCAAATAAAAAAAAAAAAAACGATTCTGGTAAAGCACTGAACATAAGTCTCGCTTTCAATGGAAGCTTGATGCCCAATCCTAATTGTCACTTAGTAAGTTCACATTAAAACTTTAACTCCTGAAGATGAGTTCAGTCTTTACCGTCAAGCCAGCAGAGCGCTGAATCTTGCATAACACGGACTAGCATGAGAAACATATACGACACAAATATTAAAGTTAGAGGTGCTTATAATGTGTCACAATGTGGATTCTATTGTTGTGTGTGTGCGTGTCCTTACTAGTGGATGAAGCTGGAAAAATGGTGTCTGAGGATGGAACAGAGGTGACGGTGGAAGGAGCTGTGGATGATCATGAAGTGGAGAAGGATGAAGATGGACAAGAGGTGATAAAGGTCTACATCTTCAAGGCTGATTCTGGAGAGGACGATATGGGTGAGAGGTTCTTTTACTCCTGTAAATACTCAGTGTTCTTCAAATTGGATAGCTCAACACTAGTTCCATCCATTATCTGAACTAGGGTTCAATTCAATTCAGTTTTATTTATATAGCGCCAAATCACGACAAGAGTCGTCTCAAGGCACTTCACATATTAATCATTCCAATTCAGGTCAGTTCATTAAGCCAATCAGAAATTATGTTTCCTATATAAGGAACGCAGCAAATTGCATCAATGCAAGCATAAAGCGACAGTGGAGAGGAAAACTCCCTTTTAACAGGAAGAAACCTCCAGAAGATCCTGGCTCAGTATAAGCAGCCATCCACAACTCACTGGGGATCGAGAAGACAGAGCAGGCGCGCGCGCGCACGCACACACACACACACACACACACACACACACACACACACACACACACACACACACACAAAGTAATGTGTCTATAGTTATATTGTGAATTCTTAGTAAATATTCTACTTGGTGAGAGATAAACTTTATTGTATTTATCCTAGTGAATCTATAATTAAACGGATAAACTAGTAGTAGGTTGTCACGGTAACCGGTGTAGGGTAAAAAAGTTGACGATAATAATAACCGTCTTGTTTTTAAAAAACTATATTATCTCGGTGGATTACCGTGGCTGCAGTGTAGGCGCAGTGACCCTTACCAGCCACCGTATCATCTGCTGAAGTTGCCGGCGGGACATGCGCGCTTTGTTGTTTACAACCAAAACTTTCTTGAAGCTAAAGCTGAAACAATGGCCAATGGAGGAGACGGCAGCACTCAGGACATTTATTAACCCTCAAAGAAAACAAAGTGGGAAGTACGGGCATTTTTTGGATATTTGAAGAATGTCGAGGGACAGTTGATAGAAGACGGCTATCCTGTTTGCAGCACGTGCAGAAAAAGTGTGTGTGAAAGGCAGCAACGCTTCAAATCTCATGACACATCTGCGTGACCATCACCCACAACTCTACAGTCAACGCAAGGCAAGCTAACGTTAGCGCTTTAGCTAAAATGCGTGATCCGAGGATTTGGGTTGAGGGAGAATGCAACGAGTCGCTATATAAAGCAGCCGCAGCGCCGCTACCTGCATATAAACCGTGTCGCGGACACCCCCATGTTGAAATGACGCTACGCATTACGGGGCTCCCAGGGGCAGATAAGAGTTGGTCTCTCTCCGAGAATAATTATGAATTTAACAACGATTACTGCCTGATAGGGCTGGGGGTAAACGATTATTTTTAAAACGATTATTCCGACGATTATTTTATCGAATAGTCGACTATTCTAATGACTATTTAGAAAATTAATCTAATGATTATTTTTCTATTGCACAATTAACAAAAACCAGAAAATCTCAAATAAATTCCTCAAAAAAAAATTGATAAATTCTTACTGTAAGAGAATAAACACTACAGGCCTTCCATTTTGTATAACACTGCGTTTATTGTGTTGCGGTTGGTTATGTTCTGGTGACGTGTAGAACTTGGGAGTGCAGGCTGCTGCCTGAGAGGTGGTAGAAGATGGAGTGTCTCCATGCTGCTTTGTTTTGGTCACTTATGTGCGTGAGGCGAGTGGTCTTACGGGTTAAACCAAACTCAAGGTGATATTTTACACTAAACCGAAAACCCACAACACTCTAAATGTAATAAAAGGGAGATCTACACCACAAAAAAGATGAACTCTAAACCAAAACGTAACAGCTTATCCCAACGCAAGAAGCTGTTAGCGAAGATGCTAACAGTAGCTTTACCAACGTTAAGTTCAAGTTACCAAGTTTAAATAAACCAAAAACACCCAGCAGCAAACAGACCAGCACGGAGGAGAGACTGCTACCACCAAAACAGCTCTCCTCATGTCTGAAAGAAGCTCCTTTATGAAGGGAGAAGCGCTCCCGGTGATTTTCTACATCTGCGATAGACACGAAGCAGCGCATCTGACCCCGGAAGTTGTTGTCCGTTGCCGGGAGACGAAGGGGCAAAACAGGAAAATAATCTAGTAGTGGACGGACGTTGTTCCGGGTCTTCGGTATTTGGCGGAGATGTTAGTGAAGGCGGAGAAGAGGGCGAACTAGAGGAAGAACAGGCAGATTCCTCCTCTATTTACAAACTCCTGGGGATGCAACAAGTGGGCGCGGTGCGTCGACTTCCGGATCTGACGTCGACAAATTTTTAGAATCGAGCCGTCGACTTCGTCGAGGCTTCGCTACAGCCCTACTGCCTGATGACATTTTCCCACATCTGCAAAGCTCACTGGAAGGACACAAACCGAGGACAATATTTTCCTGATATAGGGTTTATTACTCAAGTAAGGGTAAAAAAGTATCTGATTAGAAGACTACTTGAGTACTGAGTATCATCTGATCTAATATTTTTAAAATGATGACATCAAACAGATAAAAAATAAGAAATTATGGACAAATATTGGTATTTTAAAGACTAAAGGCGAAATATGTAAACAAATAAACAACATAATTACAAAATAACAAATTTTAGGTAAAATCTAGACACAAACTGAGGACTATATTTTCCTGATAAACAGGTTTTATTTAGTTGTCTGAAAATGTAACACGTTAAAAAAAATACAGCGATAATACCAAAAACCGTGGTAATTTTGGTCACAGTAACCGTGAGGTTAAATTTTCACACCGTGACAACCCTAAACTGAACCTATCTGCCCACTCAGGGTCGCGGGGGGCCGGTGCCTAACTCCAGCAGTCAACGGGCATACAGGCGGGGTACAAACTGGACAGATTGCCAGTCAACACTAGTTCCATTGTTTTTGGAAAAATAAAAACAAGAAATAACATTGAAATGGAAAATGCTGGAGAAATACTTGTTTGTGGCAGAGAATTCATCAAATGATTTCTTTCTTCAGGAGAATCTGTTGACATCAGCGATGGAGACGCTGATAGCGTCGCCCTGACAGAGTCTACAGGTCAACCACTCAGAGAGAAGATGGTTTACATGTCTGTTGGAGATTCTCACCACAATCAAGGTAACCACGGTGAGTCCTCTGCAACCAGTGACCTGGGAAATCTGTCATGTCAAGTCAAGTTTTATACATGTTGGGTGCCATGTTTATAGTGATAGTTTAGAAGTTAACTCAACGCAGGGCAGGCAGGCTGGAGACCAGGAGCACTGTTTTAAAGGAAAGTAAAACTAAGGACACTGCAACAGCCGGACAAGCTGGACTGGGACTACAAGACATAAGGAAAGGGAACGCTGCCAAGAAAGCAACAAGGATTTGGAGAAGTAAAATAGAAACTAGGCTGAATGTACTGATGCGTTGCACCTGCGTCACCTGATCACATGGGTCCACCATATTGGACGCCAACAGGGAATTACGGGAATGTTGAACTGAGAGTAAAAGTGGTGACTAGGTTTTATTTTATTTTTTTGCCAGTTTAGCCTGGTTTCTACAGGTTCAAGCCCAGTTCACTTGTGGGGAGGTTTAGCACACCTAGGTGGGTCTCATGGTACTTTCACATCTGGGTCAGCACAGACCCGCCCTAGTTGGGTGTTTTCTCCTTCCTCAACCAATCATTTATTCAGACCTCCTCTCCCAGTGGTCCACTTCCAGCTGAACTGACCAGCACAACCACTGCCGACTGATGGGCCGACTAAAATTCACGTCTACCTTTAGGGGGAACCTTCGCTTGGCAGGTGGAATCAGTTAGCAGGGGGTTCTCGCATTGCGCAATTCCTAATCACTCTGAAGTGTTGGTCAAAAACAAGTTTCCCAGTAATTAGACCGGTTCATTCTAAAAGGTTCTGACCATTGACATATACTGGACAATGTGTTTCCAAAGACTCACTTATAAGTTTTTGAGCCAAAATGGGAGGTGGCCACACCGCCATTTTGACCGTGTCACGGGTTCCGTCAAGTCCAGGCAATTCCAAAAAAGGGAAAAGAGGTGGAGGTGAGGGTGGGGCTGTAAGGCTGGGATCAAATGACGACACCCGTCGAACTGAAGCGATGTAGCTAGAAGCTAACCCAAAGCTAACGCGGAGGTGGGAGCTAAGCTAATAGAGGTAGCTACCTAGCTACAACCGGAGTTAACTGTGCACAACACCAGAGCTTCTGAGTCAGAGATATGCCTGCCTGACCGTTGGGTGGACCACAGAGGTCTCCCGAGAGCTCCACAAGCTGGCAGCCTGCGCAGCAGACAGGCGCTGCGGCGATCAGATGCGCCGAGCTGCCGCTGGGGAGAATCGGGCGGAAAACATTGGTTTCCATCTGAGAGCTCCACAAGCCGGCAGCCGCACAGCAGACCGGCGCCGCGATCAGAGATGTGCCGAACTGCCGCTGAGTGGAGGGAGTCCATACCGATAGTCAGAACCCAGCTCCACCAACATATTTCATATGTCATATTTCAACCCATTTTCAATAATGCAGCGTTATGTTAAATGCACTGGGTTTTACCCTATTACATTTAAATTTCATGGTTAAACAGTACATGTTAAGATCTAAGCTCAGCTCTGCAGGGTCAGGCAGCTAACTGATCATCAGACGAGGCCACGATCGTGATAAGCTTTCATTTTTCTTAAATTTACATAATTTAGAAGAGAAACAAGAGCAAACAGAATGTACACACAAAATAAATATGAATGAAAATGAGCAGAGAGAAGAAATATCATTTTTGCCTCTTTTTTTTTTTTTTTTTTTTTTTTTTACAAAAGAACATAAATCAAATTGTACCACATTCTTCTTCTAACTTTCAAACTTAGTCCCAGACGCCATCTTAATTTGCATTTTCATAATTACCTCATGCCCTTGATTTAAAACATGTCACCAATATGTTTAGTGAGCTTGACTCTTTCCATAATTTTACACCGCTTACAAAAATACTCATTTCCTTCTCTTTGGTTCTAAATCTTAACTTTTTAGTGACTTCAGTTGTGATTAAATTATAACAATTTACTCTTTTTAAAACATTTTCTGAGTGTTTACTGGTCAGGTATTAGCTTTGTACATTGTAGTATCTTCCTACATTAATGCTACATATAACTAAGGTCAAAGATCTAGAGACCAAACTACAGGAGGCCCATCTGAGGGTCAGGTGGCTACAATCAGACATTTAGTCATGAAATGTTCAGATTGAGACGTTCATGAGAAATACTAAAGTAAAACGTTTGAACGTGTCTTAAAATGCTTTTAAGTTTTAGTCTCAGCTAATAGAAGCAGTTCCAACACTTCTTCTGTAGATTACCCGTCTTGTACAGTTAAGCTTCTAATAAAGAACTTAATGTTTACTAGATTAATTAACCATTTAGGAGTCAATACCTGTATGGACAGAGTATTTTTTTAAAGGTGAATCGATAAAACTGCAATGTGTTTGAAAATTTGGGTGCACCTAAATTTTGTTGCAGTGCACCTAAGAAAAAAAATGAGGCGCAACCAAAAAAGTTAGTCCTGTGAACACAAATAAGGTTCAGAAATTTCCGACAGGATGCCGATGTGGTGAAACGTAAGTGTTTTAGGAAGTTGGTTTGTCTTAAAGCGACAAACACACAGAAATATATTCATCTGTATTACATCGATGGACTGTTTATTTTCAGAATCGGCTTTATTGTCGGCGCTCCAGCGTCCCGAAGCACAGAACTTTGACTCCGCAGTACAGCTTGACCAATGTTACACACACAACATGTGGAACAAAACAGATGCAGGCAGACCACGAGAGCTGCCATTCAAGGCGCTCTCTTCAGTTGGATAGAAAAGGGTTACATGAGGATAAATGGGGAGAGGGGAAAAAGGACATTTCTGAGTTACTCCCACGAACATCAACAGTTTACAACGCAGACAGGACAAGAGCCTTGGGAAATAAAAGATAAGGGAGAGAAAAGAGAAGCGTCTGTACTCTCCAGGTGCCAGAAGAGAATCCTACTATAAAAGCTGCGGCTGACGGGCAGGCTTTTGTCAATCTGTGCATCAGAGCTGTCTTGCTTGGAGCTTTAGAGATGATGGTTGTGGTTTTACATTGAAGTTGAAATGTTTTCCCAGGTTTAGACAATAGCGAGAGCTGTGAAAACAGAAACGGGGCCGCCAGTGCGCTGCTGCACATCGACGAGTCAGACGGGGTGGACGAGATCGGTAGACAACGCAAGAACAGGAGGCGGTCAGAACATCGACAGGTCCAGACAGGTAAGAGAAGACCAGTGGGCGGATGGGTGGATTTATGTTTAAATCATCCTTTCCTCACTTTCTGTTCATTGACTGTTTATTTATCTGTTTGGCCTTTTTTTCTTGTCTTAATCTCCTTTGAATTTTGTAAAATTTTATTAGACTCTTCATTAAACAGGTGCTCAGGGTGTGAATTCCTGCTCCTCTTTACAAACGCAGCTAAGCATACATGTTGGCATCAAAATCATCCAACAAAAAATACCGGGGTTGTTGGACCAGCCTGTCAACTCCATGTTAAATTGTTTTTCTTTACTTGTCAAGAAATGTCTAAAGATGTCAAAGTGGGTTCTTTAAATGTGTAAAATGAGCTAAACTGATTAAAAGACAATACTTACACCAAAAACCTGTCCATTAGCTATTTTGTTAGTTATCTGTGAACTTTTGGAAAATTGTGACAAGATGCAAGATTTAATGTTTATTTCTGTAGAACTAGTACTTTAAATTAGGGCTGTCAAAAATAAACGTCTTTTTAATGCATTAATGCAAAGCTTCTTTTAACAGCATTAATTTAATTAACGTGCGATTAACACGCAGGCTTCCGTACTTTCCTTTTGCCCTCCTGGCGTTCCATAGCCTACATAAACAAGAACGTTAATGCTCAGTCTGCGGATGCTAGGTAGAGCATGGAAAGCAAAAATCGTCTTTTGAATGGAAAGTTTACATTTAAAACTACCAGATGGTACAGCTGATGAGACAAAAGTCATCTGTGTTTACTGTCGATGTGAACTGAGCTATCATCGTAGTACTTCAAGTCTCAAATACCACCTGCTGGCGAAACATACAGCTGATGCAGAGAGCTCTCCTCCTCGCCGAAAGCAAACCACGCTGGAAAGTTTTCAGCAGAGACGCCTGGACAATTCCACATCATGTAAGCTTTCAACAGCCATTGCTAAATGGGTCGCTACAGCTTGCAGACTGATTAACACTGTGGAGGATGAAGGACTACTTGACGCAATTCGCATTGCATCAAGCGACAGCACGTTTGATTTACCTTCGAGAGCCACCACGGTTACCAATATACAAAAACTGTATCAACATGAAAAGCAAAGGTGGAGGAGACATGGAGTCAGACAAAAACAGTTGCCCTAACCGGGGACTACTGGACGTCTCTGAGTAATCACAGCTATCTCGGGGTAACAGCACATTATTTTACATCAAACTGGGAACTTCGGTCACATGCTTTGACTGTTATGAAAACCGAGGACAGACATTTTGCCGACACATGCGCTGAACATTTTATGCAAGTAGCCCGGCAGTGGAACATTGAACTTAAAGTTAGCACACTGACCACAGATGGTGCACGCAACATGATTGCTGCGGCGAGGCAACTACCATTTGAGCATATGCCTTGCATTGCACACAGCCTGCATCGAGCTATTGCAGTTTCTCTACAGAACAGTCCATTTGACTTTGCATTGACAAAATGCAGAAAAGTTGTTGGTCATTTCAAGCACAGCCCAGCAAATGCAGTGGAACTTGAACAAATCGCACACTCCATCAAGAAAGAGTCGCTCATCCAGGATGTGTCAACAAGATGAAATAGTACTCTAGAGATGTTCAAGCGTGTTCTGAGAAATCAGGAACCACTGAGAGCTGCACTGGCCCAACAAGCAACCACCGTCACAATGCCAACATCAGCTGAGCTGGAAAAAATGGAAAAAGTTGGAAACGGTGCTGGAGCATTGCAGGTATGAAACTCCTGTATTTATCAGTCTTTGGTTAATAAAGCGTGTGTGTGTGTGTGGGTAGGTAGGGAGGGGGTAGAAGTAATTTAGTCTAGGTGATTGGTTTCTGTTTCTGACTGAAATTATATTCTGTTTTACTGAAGATACATCACTGATCTTCTGGGAGGAGAGAAGTTTGTTTCCTGCTCTGTGGTGTTGCCAGCATTGTGCCACCTCCTGCGAGTTTTGGAGGTCTCTGAGGAAGACCCAGCTTACATGGTGACGTTTAAAGAGACTCTCAAAGCAGAAATAGAGAAGCGCAAGGATAAAGCTAACATCGCATGGCTCAAGGTTGCAACTGCACTCGATCCTAGGTTTAAGGATCTCAAGTGTCTTAGCAAACCTGACAGGGTTGAAGTGTGGCGACTAATCACTGCTTTGCTAAGGGAGAGGCAGACACCAGCACAGCCTGAAGATTCAGCAACATTGGAGCACCCCCAAGAAAAAAAACTGTCCTCATGCTTTCCCAGGATTCTTCATCTGATGAAGAAGAGGACTGGATTGAGTGATCTTTGGATCGATACAAGGCAGAACGATACAAGGCAGAACCTACTATTGATACAGAGGACTGTCCCCAGAGATGGTGGTCCAGACATGAAGGGGCACACGGTGTGATAGCATCTCTTGCACAGAAGTACTTGGCAACACCTGCCACATCCATACCACGTGAGAGGTTATTCTCACTTTCTGGGCATGTTGTTCAGAAGAAACAAGCTGCACCGTCTTCTGAAAATGTGAAAATGCTCGTCTGCTTGAGCAAGTGGCTAAGTACAAAAAAGTCACTTTAGAGAGCCCAAAAAATAACCTGGAGAGTTTCATTGAGATGGGAAAGAAAAAATAAACCCAAAAGTGTTGCCTTTTTTTGTTCACCAGAAACAATAAGCTATGTTTAAAATGCGCAGGCAGAGTCCTGGTTCTATATCACGCATCTCTCTTTGTCCTAGTTTTATTCTCTTGTGTTGATTTTTTTGAGTCCTAATCTGGGTGGAACCATACAAGGTAAAACCGTTATTGTGAGGAAGGTTATGCTTAATTGCTCTTTGAATATTTTTGTTTTTCTCATGAAGATTCTGAACTTTTTGTTATGTTTGAATTTGCTCCAGTTCTATTAAACATATTTTCATAAAAAATTATATTTGTTCACTCCATATTTGAAATAAAAACATTTTTTTATCATTAAGTTATTAAAAATTAAGTTTGTGATTAACTGCGAGTTAACTATAGACAATCATGCGATTAATCGCGATTAAAAATTAGATGTTGAGGAGCTCATTAATGTTGTAGTGGCAACGTGTAGTTGGCCAACACAATATGTTGTAAATAAATACTGTCTGAAAGGTGAAAAACTGACCAGAAATACATTTAATATTTACTAAGACTAGTTAAAGGATTATTGTCAAAGTTACCACAGTTTGGGTAGGGCATCGATTGGAACCGGGACCAATTGTTAGTTTTTCCCGGAGTTGTTTAAAGTTTTTTATTTCGATTCCTAGAATGCCGGCTGGAAGAAGAATCCGCGACCGATCTCTGTGAAAAATAAACGTGATCTGCAAATTGTGATCAACGCTTTTCAGAGCTGATCACAGCAGCTGTCTGTGTACAGCACCGAGTCCCCCCTCCCCCACCCAGATATAAACAAATATGTCTGCCGAACTTTTACTCCGTAATGTAAACTTTAACTCCTGCAGCGTAGAGGAAACGTGTTAAAACACATCAATAGAAGCTTTAAAGAACAAACTCTGGACGGTGTGAGGTGAGTTTGTCTCACTGCAGAAATAAAAACACACACGGAGCATCAGCAGTCAGACGCAGCCACTCACCAACGTGTGTGTGTGTGTGTGTGTGTGTGTGTGTGTGTGTGTGTGTGTGTGTGTGTGTGTGTGTGTGTGTGTGTGTGTGTGTGTGTGTGTGTGTGTGTGTGTGTGTGTGTGTGTGTGTGTGTGTGTGTGTGTGTGTGTGTGTGTGTGTGTGTGTGTGTGTGTGTGTCAGAAGGCTGAACAATAACCTGTAGAATAATTAAAGTCATCATGCTAGAGAAGCTCTGTGGTGGACCACACCAGCTTCTGCCACAATTAATAATAATAAATCACACACAAAGTTGTGAACATTTTAATTTCCTTGCTGAACTATTTCTGTTGAGTTCTAATGTTTAAAATCTGTTAGATTGTTACTGACAGCAGCTACATTTAAGTTTCACTTCCTGTTCCGACTGAACGCTGCTGCAGCATGGAGGTGTAGTTCTCAGTCATCCTGGACATGATCATCCTGAGAGTTTTAGCTGAAAACAGCTGCACGTTTCTGGATACGTTGGAGACATTTAGCCTCTCATCCCAGAGTCTTCTTCCAGACTTTGGTTGTGGTCAGAAACAAACACACTGGTTGTGCTGCAAGTCTTTTTCTTTTTTTTTCTCCAAAACATGTTTTTGTCTAAATGAAGGTGACATTGTTGTTCATAGAGTTAAAATTCATGTTGAAGTTAAGATTATTTTATCAAGTAGGACCTGTGGTTAGCTGGCTCATGTAAAACATGTCATGTCTTGAAAGAATCGGGAATCGATAGGAATTGGAATCGAAACAAGGAATTGGAATCGGAATCGTTCAAAATCAAACGATGCCCAACCCTAACTACAGTACTATGAGTTAATCAAACTATTAGTTTGATTGATCATCGATGTAATTTTGTTTTGCCTTTCAGTTTTTTTTTTTTTTTTTTTTTTTTTTTTGTGATGTGTCAAAAAAAAAAAACTTGCCATGCAGTAACTCTCCTCTCCATCTCATCTTTCTCCAGCGATCATCATCGGTCCGTATGGCCAGCCGCTGACGGTCTACCCTTGCATGCTCTGTGGTAAAAAGTTCAAGTCGCGAGGTTTTCTCAAACGCCACACTAAGAATCATCACCAGGATGTTCTGACTAGAAAAAAGTACCAATGCACAGACTGTGAGTTCACCACCAACAAGAAAGCCAGCCTCCACAATCACATGGAAGTGCACGCACTTAGCAGCAAGGCACCTTTTGAGTGTGAAATGTGTGGCAAGGAGTTCCACCAGCAAGGAGCGCTGTTCTCTCACAGACTACATCACCACCACCGGGAGCCCAAAAACCAGACACCTCCTCAGCCCACCAAGACGCACAAGTGCAAATTCTGTAACTATGAAACAGCTGAGCAGGGACTGCTCAACCGACACTTGCTGGCCGTTCACAGCAAAAGTTTCCCTCACATCTGTGTGGAATGTGGGAAAGGTTTCCGGCATCCTTCCGAGCTGAAGAAACACATGCGCACACACACGGGGGAAAAGCCGTATTCTTGCATGTATTGCGACTACAAGTCGGCAGATTCGTCTAATCTCAAAACGCACATCAAAACGAAGCATAGCAAAGAAATGCCGTACAAGTGCGAGCGTTGTTTCCAGACCTTCACCGAGGAGGAGGAGTTAATGCAGCATGGACTAACACATGAGGAGAACAAGACCCACCATTGCGCCCACTGTGATCACAAAAGTTCCAACTCTAGTGACTTAAAACGCCATATCATCTCTGTTCACACCAAGGACTATCCGCACAAATGTGCCGTGTGCGGGAAAGGTTTCCACCGGCCGTCGGAACTGAAGAAGCACTCAGTCGCTCACCGCACCAAGAAACTCCACCAGTGCCGGCACTGCAACTTCAAAATCGCTGACCCGTTTGTTCTCAGTCGCCACATTTTATCTGTCCACACAAAAGAGCAGCAGGCCTCACCTGAAAGGGTGGAGCCTAAGAGGACAGAGACACACACTCCTGTTGTAGCACCCAAAAAGTCACCTGCTAGCGGGTCGAGCAGTTCTGGTACACCTGCTAGAGTCAGTGCAGCCAGCTTGGCTAGCAGCGTGACGGTAGTTATCGGCAAAGGACAAAAGGAGAGGAGAATTTACCAGTGCCAGTACTGCGACTACAGCACCGGGGATGCGTCGGGTTTTAAAAGACATGTGATTTCCATTCACACAAAAGACTATCCTCACCGCTGCGAGATCTGCTCGAAAGGCTTCAGACGACCTTCGGAGAAGAACCAGCATATCATGCGTCACCACAAGGATGTGGTGCAGGCAGAGTGACTGACTGAGCCAGAACAAAGACCAATGTTAAAGCGGTCACCCTACCTTGATCACTGCAGCCTCAGCACATGAACCACCTGGTGTGTGCTGCATTTTAGTCCACCCGTTGGGTTTTTCTTCTAACCCCTCATTTACACAGAGTAAAGAGCACACGCGCTCCAGTATCCGTATGGCTTCTGCCAAAATCATTTGAGTCCAATCAGAGCATTCACACCGGCCGCAGGTGCGGTGATGAGTGTCCGGAGACGGAGCTCCAGAAAGTTTGCACATGGAGTCTTTATTTTTTTTTCGTGATGCTGTAAAGTGTCAAAAAGTTAAAGAAATGACACGAGACAGACGGTGAGTGAGACGTGGAACAGCAAGGTAATAAAACCTGTTGTTTTTTCCCAGCTTTTTAAATTAATGACCGCAACGACATTTCTGTGTACGATAGTTCACATCATTTTTACAAGTATATTTTTATGCATATCTAATGCATTATGTCAAATGTAGGGCTCTTGCTGATGCATTCAGCATACAAACAGCAGTCGGTGTGAATGGCTGTCCGTACGGAAACCGCACCGTTCCATACTCGGTGTAAATGAGGCGTGAGAGGTTCTGATGCTAGTCCAGTGCTGGTTCTTTACTCCAGAGAAGATGGACATTCTACACAGGGTTTGTCTTTTTATTACTGCAGATCTTTACATATCACCAGTCTATTTTCTAAATCTGTAAACACTACCCCAATCCACAGGGATACACCTCGTCCATAAATGCCAGGTGGTGGTTTTTTAAAGCCTATCATGTTTTAAACGGGAGCTCTGTGGTGCTCTGACCTACTTTAACTACCTGATTCTGGATCAGTAATGTTGTTAAATGAAGTAGATTCATTTTTTTAAGTTTTTGTGAGCCCACATAGCATCAGCTTTCTGATGCTGGAGCCAGAACTCCGATGTGGAGCTAAGCTGGCTCTGCGTTGGTTTAGCATCAGAACCAGTTAGATGGAAAAGTCCCCTCTGTTGTTTTCCTCTCTTAACCTTTGTTCGTAAATGTAAACACATGTATATACCGTTATTACGCTGACACTTACCAACCAAGCCCCCCTCCACAGGCTTGCACTTTTAGCTGCATGTCCCCTGTTGGTGACATTGTGCATGGCAGATTGCGCAGACGTCTTTTTGTAGATACATGTTTTTGGATTTGGCAGGAAATTCTCAATCACAAAGGTCCTAAACATTTGTCTTAAAATTGAAGTTGTAATTTTCAAAAATATTTCTTTTGCCATTTTGTTAAAACAGTTGCCAAATTCTGAGGTTTGGATTAACGGTAGCACTTGTATAATTGAGTTTCTATATGTGTGAGTGTGATCGAGCGCATGAGGGACAGAAATAGCCCACTTTGTCGTGCTTCCTGGTGCTTCGATCCCATCACTCTGTAACACGAGGCTTCTGTTGAGCTGGCTGTCCTCAGACACAATCAGTCATGGTTTGTTTCTTCCACAGGTGTCCATAATCAATGAATTACAGGTTTTTAAAACTAAGTGGACATGTTAATTATGGTGCAATTGTTGCCACAGCTGCTTGATGTCCAATAATTCTGTTTCATGTCTAGATGTGCTTTGGAGAAAGCGTCCACAATGCCCAAATGACAGTATTTTAACCAAGTGAAATCCCCTCAATTAGAAATGGCAGAACATTTCTAAATGCTTGATCTAAATGGAAAATAAACCATAAAAGTGGTGCTGCAAGTATGAATCAATGGACTGGGATTCACCCCATCACTGCTCTACTTTTGCCAGCAGAAAGGGAAATGATCATTTTAGATGCAACTTCAGAAGACAGCTGCTGGTGGCGTTCATGTATTACAGCTTATGACCTTTGTCTTAACACCTGTGTTCATTTCTGTTTTTATATTTATTTCATTTATAACTTGTTGTATAGTTAAGTGTAACTAGACTTCAATGGGACGTAAATTATTGTTTTGTATACAAATCTGTACAAAGCGCGTAGATGTAAACACTCAAAGGAAATTGAACTGTGTTGTTTATGGATGTGCGTCAGCGTATTTGTTAAAAAAGATAATAAAGCAAAGTATTTTAGCTGTTTTTATTTTGTTTAGGTTTAATATAAAGCAGCTATAAAACGTGGCTGAATGGTTGCAGGAGTTGGTGCACTGATACTGGTTCTAATGGGCAAAGACATGGTAGTACCTAGTACAGGACATTATTATTTCTATGTTCTCTGTTATATGAAAACAATTGTTTTAATTTCATAATCCTAGTTTGGTTTCTTTAAACTTTCACTTCTACACTAATTTGGTTCAGTTCTGCAGGGACAAGTTTTCTGATGATTGAAAAACCGTAAAATGCAAACTAACAACTCAGCAGTTGAGCTGAACTCGAGCAGAGTTGAGCGGATTGTGCTGAAACAATACAAACCTCCGTTTGTCCACAACTGAATCCACTCAGCCAGCCCAACCCTTTTGAATAGTCATTCTGCTGTGGAAACTTAATATATGGAGATGAAAACCTCTCCCTGCTAGCTTAAGTATGAACACTAATGGTGTCCAAGGTTACATTTAGAAGGAGCCTTCTGTTCCACACTACGGCAGGGATGTCTTACCTTAATGTTTTAAAAATTCTCAAATACGTGTAATAACAGGTACATCGGCGACAACAACTGGGTTCTTGTCAAAAGGAAAACGAGACACCAGACCCAGCAATGCAGATTCATCCTGGGCTTCCATCGCTCCTCAGCAGTGGATGATGATGGGTTAGGGTTGCAGTAACAGGCTGATGGCCTCCATGTTGCATTGATGCAGTAATTTATGCAGAATGATGTCAAACCAAGTACTGATCCATCAAAACGAACTGCCGGCGTTTTGTTTAAAATATAATTTTCTTTGTTGGTCTTATTCTAATTTTCTGAAACACTGAATTTAAAATTTTATCTATAAAGAATAATCCAAAAATTACAAAAATAAAAGCTTGACATATATTACTTAATAAATATGAGTTTTACTTTCTGAAATAATTTTTGTAAGATGTTCCTGTAGAGAAAATCTGACCCAGAAGCTGCTGATGTCTGATCTGAGGAACACGAGAACCTTCACAGCCAAACATTTAGAAGAGATTGAAACACACATTTTAGATCAGCAAAGAAAGTTCAACGATTTCACCGAGGCAACAAAAACACCAGCGTGGACTTGTGAAAAGTAAGTTAACATTATTTGGAACACAGTAAAAAAAAAATCTAACATTGGCAAACAGAATATGACAAAAATGAGATCATTGGATAAAAAGACTTAGTCACTACTCACTGAAGTTGTCTCAAATCCTTAAAAGGCTGACTTATCTATCAAATGAAAATAAAACACTGCCAGGTTCAGTGTTGGATATTTTTAAAAAAGAACTGCTAAACAGTAACGCATGCCACTAATTAAACCAGTCTGTTCTCAGCATTGGAGAGTGAAACTAGACCAGGTTGGGGAGTTTGGACTGAAGAGCTGCTAAAGCATCTGTCATGGTGAGGAACTCAACCCAGTTCTGATAGAGACCTCGTGAGTACTCCCCGGTGACAACGACCAGTCCCCACAGGCGGCTCTGGCCCGTTTTGTTCCTCAGAGCCAGCTGAGCCTCCCGCTCCGTCACATTGTAGCTGATGTTCAGAACCTGACTCACCAGCAGGTGAAGCAGTCCACCTGTGATGATGCTGCTGTACCAGCAACAGGTGAAGCAAAGAGCTGTGCTGCAAACACACACAGAGACCAAACATCTATTCAGTCTGGCTTGCCAGGCTAAAAATAATCATCTTTTGGAGTCTTAATTAATTTGGGACAATAATAAAAGTAACGCTGCAAAAAACATGCTTTGTATTTGATTCACATATTTCACCCATTTTTATATTGATATATAGACTCACCTGAAGGATTATTAGGAACACCTGTTCAATTTCTCCTTGATGCAATTATCTAATCAACCAATCACATGGCAGTAGCTTCAATGTATTAAGGGGTGTGGTTCTGGTCCAGACAATCTCCTGAACTCCAAAGTGAATGTCAGAACGTGAAAGAAAGGTGATTTAAGCCATTTTGAGCGTGGCATGGTTGTTGGTGCCAGACGGGCCGGTCTGAGTATTTCACAATCTGCTCAGTTACTGGGATTTTCACCCACAACCATTTCTAGGGTTTACAAAGAATGGTGTGAAAAGGGAAAAACACCCAGTCCTGTGGGTGAAAATGCCTTGTTGATGCTAAAGGTCAGAGGAGAATGGGCCGACTGATTCAAGCTGTTAGAAGAGCAACTTTGACTGAAATAACCACTCGTTACAACCGAGGAATGCAGCAAAGCATTTGTGACGCCACAACACGCACAACCTTGAGGCGGATGGGCTACAACAGCAGAAGACCCCACCGGGTACCACTCATCTCCACTACAAATAGGAAAAACAGGCTACAATTTGCACCAGCTCACCAAAACTGGACAGTTGAAGACTGGAAAAATGTTGCCTGGTCTGATGAGTCTCGATTTCTGTTCAGACATTCAAATGGTAGAGTCAGAATTTGGCGTAAACAGAGTGAGAACATGGATCCATCATGCCTTGTTACCACTGTGCAGGCTGGTGGTGGTGGTGTAATGGTGTGGGGGATGTTTTCTCGGCACACTTTAGGCCCCTTAGTGCCAGCTCGGCATGGTTTAAATGCCACGGGCTTCCTGAGCATTGTTTCTGACCATATCCATCCCATCATGACCACCATGTACCCATCCTCTGATTGCTACTTCCTGCAGGATAATGCACCATGTCATAAAGCTCCAATCATTTCAAACTGGTTTCTTGAACATGACAATGAATTGACTGTACTACAACGGCCCCACAGTCACCAGATCTCAACCCAATAGAGCATCTTTGGGATGTGATGGAACGGGAGCTTCGCGCCCTGGATGTGCATCCCACAAATCTCCATCAACTGCAAGATGCTCTCCTATCAACATGGGCCAACATTTCTAAAGGATGCTTTCAGCACCTTGTTGAATCATGCCACGTAGAATTAAGGCAGTTCTGTAGGCGAAAGGGGGTCAAACACCGTATTAGTATGGTGTTCCTAATAATCCTTTAGGTGAGTGTAAATCCAGGTGGCAACTTTTTTTTTTTGGACAGGCAGTGTATTTCAAGGACTTATTTCCTACAGGGACTGAAATGTGTTCTGCCAGAAAGTGGACAAGAACCTGAGAGAGGTGAAGATTTCAGTACCTGGACTGACTGTAGACCCCGGGGCAGTAGAACAGAGCTGGTACCAGGTTCTGTTCAGGACAGATGCTGCTCAGCACCAAACTGATCCCGTACATGGAGGTAAACACGAACACACAGAGGGTCTGCAGAAAGCTGTGGTGATTGGCTTGTCCAACACAGCTGTTCATCCTGCAGCGTCTCAACACACACACACACACACACACACACAATAGACACACATTTAAAACACAGAACCTTTCAGGTTGTATGTGTTCTGGTGAAAACTGTACCTTCTACGAAACATTTTACCTGGAGAAGTTTCTGGGTTTTGCTCTGGTTCAGATTCATTCATGATGATTATAACCCTGCATCTGAGTTCTTTCAAGTTCTCAAGCTGTGTTGTGTTTAAACTTGAATTAATTTCTGTGTCAATCCAAACGATGCTTGAAAGTAATCACAACAAGCCTCTAAGCGACTTCCAGCCTCTAACTGAATTCATTCATTCAGTTTGTAACCGAGAGTTAAAATCAAGACTGGAAGAGGACGTAACCACCTGTAGGTGTGAGGTAGAGGATCCAATCTTTTGCTCATTTTAAATATATTTTTAAACATTTTCTAAATGCTTTTTTATATTTTTACATTTTTTGGTTTTGTGAAGCGCCTCGTGATTTTTATCTTGAGAGGCGCTATAGAAATGATATTTTCTTCCTCTTCAATCAAGTGGTACATAGCTCCTAAAACCACTCTGACAGAAAATGGATGGATGAGAGTCAGTAGAGACCCACATGAAAGGACAAAGGGATGCAAATGGTGAGTTTTGCGTCACATGTCCCCTTTTAGACTACGTTGCCCGGCTGGCCCTTAGGATTCCCCTGGAGGAGCTGGTCCAACTGGGGAAAGGGAAGTCTGGGCATCCCTGCTTAGGCTACTGCCCCCACGACCCAACTCCAGATGAGCGGCCGAAAATGGATGGATGGATGTCCCCTTTAAGATAAAGGAAGTCTTAACTAGTTCTACTCATCTAGTTTATTTGTTGCACCAAAATGAGAGAACTTTAGTTAATTCCTCATCAGAGGTCACAAACTTCCACCTAACAGCCTGAACATCTCTTAATGAATTGTTTAAAATAATAATAATGATGGCCATAATGTGCCTTTACATAGAAATCATCATCCCTCTATGGTATAGTTTAGAAACAAATGACAAGAAACCTCATGATAAAACAAATTCCTGTTTTAAATACACTGATTGCATTTGTTGTTGGTGAACTTTTTTGTGTGAATTGGAATAACATGGAAGTCTGCTGCCAGACTCCCTTTTCGCACCACTGAAATAATCAGATGAATGAACAAGGGAGATTACAGCAGGTAGATAAATAAACATGCTTTTCTTCCCCTCTGCGGTCACACTCACAAACGACAATCGTAGACCTGCCCAGTCCAGCTGCTCTGTTTCAGTCACATGACCCCCGTGCACCTGAACTGATCCGCTCTAGTACCTACACTGACTTGTACAAAGTGGCTGCTTCTCTAATGATTGATTCCCTGTATAATTATCATTTCATTGTGTTTATTCCTTAATTCTAATTTTGCTTATCATTTGCTTTTTCTTGCACCAAGTACCGCAGCGATTTCCTAATGTTGTGATTCTCGCACATATGGCAATAAAACCTTCTGATTCTGATGAGACCCACCAGACACAGTGGTGGTCCAGGCGCTGAACACAGGATCCACAGGTTCTGCAGTGCCCGGCTCGTGGTGGTCGCATTATTTTGCACACAGGACATAGGCTCCATTTGTCTGTGAGGGGTTCTCTTTTTGCCCGCAGGTCAAATGAGGTCACTGATGAAGCTGCTTCTGGCTGATCAGACCCACCAGCATGCGTGGACTCCTCTTCAGCCTGCATCCTGCAGCTGTGAGCCTCATATAGGGAAGCAGTAACAAACCCTGGGCCTCGCTTGGTGTGAATAAGAGAAAGCAAAGTGAGAATCATCCCAGTAGTGACTGCACACACCTGCAGCAGGCTGACGTCCCCGCGAGGTAAAATCTCTGTGATGAAGAGGTAATACATGTAGGCCAGGGAATACAGCGCAAGGGTGAGGAAGAAGAGGGTGCGCCTCTTTTTTCTGTGCGTGGCGTGATAGTACCACAGAACCAGGACAGGCAGAGCGGTGAGGATGATGATGCCCAGCAGGTAGTGCAGGGATGCAGCTCTCAGCAGGAGGGGCAGAAGCAGCAGGGCTGGGATCATGGAGATCTCCAGGTTGTCGATCACAGCTCCAAACATGGGAGAAGTGAATCCGCGAGAGCGCGGTTTGTCTTTCAGCCACCTGCAGAGAAAAGAAGTCAGGATATGTGACTGTTTCTGGTTTGATTTATCGTATTCTATCATCAGCTTGTACTGGATCTTAGTTTATCATTTGTTTTGATTTTGTTAGTAAATTATAAAAGATTACAGCATTTCCAGCCAGGGTGATCTCAGAACCCGTCTTATTGTGACTTCAGCTTAAAGACCTCAGCTTTACATTTGAGTGGCAGAAATGATGAGAGAAATAAAATAACACGAGACTGTCTAGATTCGCCTTCTGTCCATCCTGTAAGCAACTTTAAAAAATCCTCAGTGTGTTGAAGCTCCCATCTTGTTCTTCTACTCAGAACGGTAAAGCAGCTCGTACCTGTTACAGGCCTCGTCCAGATCCTCACAGTCAAAACATCTGGACTGGTAGACATCGCATTCACAGCAGCACATGGGGTCTTCCGGCTCTGGAGGCTTCAGCTTCTCCCATTTCATCCTGACCTGATAAAAATAAACTATTAATCAGAAACTATAAATATACAGAAAACAGTCAGAGAACTGATTTATTGCATTTATATTTTTGTGGCTAATGGAAATAGATCTATTTCTAGGTGTTTTGTGAAAATGACAAAAACAAGCTAACAGCAGGTAGCTTTCACAAAAAAACAAAACAATTCATATTTAGTCGAATATAAATTTAACACATTTGATAAAGAACATGTAAATACATTAAAGAAATTACATTTACTGCCAGTTATTTAATTATGTATTTTAAACTTATTAAATGATAACTTGGTAAAAATAAGAGAAAAGAGTCAGATTTTTTTTATTGCTGTTATGTCCCAAGAGCTTTCATTGTAATTAGTTGAAACAAGGCCACTGTGCATGCAGAGATTAATTATCTGGGCCAGCTGAACTCTCTCAGACATCAATGTTCTACCTGATTTATGACAGCATATCGTTTTCGAGCTCAATGCACATGCAAACAGGAATTCATGTGAAATTAGTTTAGAACAAGAAGAAAAAAATCTAAGATTCAAACGTGGAATAGAGCCTTTTGCACGTCATCAACAGCTGGTGGGCAATCCTAATCAAAAGCAGGGAGGCTGGTAACTCTGATGAAGACACATACGGTGTTTTGTTTACCTGCACATAATAAAAGCCTTTAAACTCGCCTGAGTGCTCCAGCCTCCCTGCTTTTGAACGTCTAGGATTCAGTCAGAACTTGTTTGCTCTTCATTTCGACGTTCATCTGATCACAGTGAAAGGCGCTCGTTCTTCACAACAACAGGATAAGAGTGAAAATGAAATAAAATGACCTGACTTACCTTTTTGTCTCTGAGCCCAAAACAGCAAATGAGACTCAGAAAGTTTGATTTTACCGATTCCAAGTGAAGTTAGGCGTTCCTTAAGAAAAGATGAAGAAATCGGCTCCTTGTCATCAAGCTCCTTCTGTAGAAAGATCAGCCTAGTTTCTCATCAGTCATTTGTGCTAAAAAAAAAAAAGGAAAGTGGCTGATTTCAGCTCCACTGGTGCTGCTGCGACAGCAAGTAAGAGCTGTGAGATGGTTTCCATTCCCACGATACAAGTGTCCCAGCAGAAGGCAACTGCCTGGCAAGTGGTTTGATATTGTGTTGCATCAGCTGGCTCGTTACCTCTCCCAACATGAAATAGTTTACAAGTCGTCCTCCGGTTATCTCATCCCGCCTATGCCAGTCATCCCTTTGGATTTTAATACCAACAATTCTTGACAAATAAAGAAGCCACCTGAGCAGGTTGAGGGGACCCAGAGCGCCAGGAGCCTTTTAACCCGTCGAGGCGCTCAGAAGCTGCTCTGAGCTGGACGAGGGTGTGCATGAGAAACATGACAGGCACTCATAGATGAGAGAGTGAGCGATGATCCACGGGCCGGCCCCACCCTCAGGGATCAGATTTCCTCCAACAAGATATTTGACCTTGTGGCTCATGTGCTGAAAACTCTGGAAATGTTTGTGTGTGAAGTCAGGGTGCTGACTTGGATACAAGCCTGTTTTCTAAGCATTTATGACGTTATGGAAAGTGACCCTTGCTGTTGTCTTTCCCCTCCTTGTGTGGAGGGTAAAAGGTGATGTGGGCATGCTCAGCCGAGAGCCTTTACCAGCTGAGATCCTGCTCCTGCAGGAACGGAGGGTGTTTATTGCAGGCCGCGCTGAGTTAAGTGGCAGCTTTTCAAAACCTCTGCATAAGAAATGAGAACGCCGTCTGCAAGAACATCGTGTATGAAAGTAGATGAACGCAAATCTGCAAACTTAGATTACAACATGATTACATTTCAGAATCCTCTGTGTTATTACAGCAACATAACTCTTTATGCAGTAAACGTGCACAAACTTAACGCGCGCACGCACACACAGATGCAGGTGCATTATAGACCATAATCTCTTAATGTCTGTAAAAATGTGTGTCTAGACCATCTGAATCAATGCGGAGGAAAGCTGCCGCTCCTACTCCTGTGAGCTATGCTCCCATTAGTCCTAATGGAGCCTGGAACCTGAGCTATAAACCGATTTGGAGGATGTTCTGCTGGGGCGGCACAGTGAACCAGCAGAACACGCTGAAGATCACAGATAAGGAATAGATGCTTAACAATGTGATATGTGAAAACGATCAACTCTTACCACATTTAATCACGTGTTCATTCAGAACTAGCTTTGTGTGAAATGCATTGCCAGCTTCAGAAGGCCAAAAGGCCTGGGATAATCTTTTTGTGTGTGTTTGTTAGCAAACTATCTGATGCATTGGTGGCTCTAGGGACGGGGTCACAGGAGCATTGGCCCCTGCTGAAATCTGATTGGCTCCCTAAAGTACCTCCTTCCTGTCACACATCTGTGTACGCGGTGACCAGATTATAGATTGCAATTCCAAGTCCAAACACTGGTGCCGCGAATGAGTCAAATAGGAATTTCCAGCATGAAATCCTGTCTAAGGACGCTGGACTAATAACTAGCCCCTCTATAAATATTTGTGTGTCCTTGATCGCCCTTGACTCAGAAATATCCCAGATTTTCCATTCAGGAATGACGTATGCATTTTTTAAAACCCGTAAAAATGATGGCCTTACCCTCTACGGTGATATAATGTAGGTGATACATCAAATTTTCTCTTTTGCTAAGCTCGCCCCCCCGTCCCATAGAGCCCTGTGCATTTTATGTACAGATACTAATCACAGAGGGGGCGCATTTGAGTCTGCATGTTCTCCCTGTGCATGCGTGGGTTCTCTCTGGGTACTCCGGCGTCCTCCCACAGTCCAAAAGCATGACTGTTAGGTTGACTGGTCTGTCTAAATTGTCCTTAGGTTGTGTGTGTGTGTTTGTCCTGTGTGTCGCTGTGCTGCCCTGCGATGGATGGACTGGCTCTCTGTCCAGGGTGTACCCCGCCTGATTGCCCATTGACCGCTGGAGATAGGCACCATACCCATGGTCTTTGTGGACAGGTGTGAGCGTAACCACCTTCTCTTGAACACCAGTAAGACAAAGGGAATGGTGATTGACTTCCAGAGAAACACTCCTTCTCACTCACCGGTAAACATCCAGCGAGCAGACATTGAGGTGATGGATACCTTTAAGTACCTGGGTGTTCACCTCAACAGCAAACTGAACTGGTCCAAAAACACAGATGCTTTGTATAAGAAGGCCCAAAGCCGCCTCCACCTCCTGAGGAGGCTGAGGTCCTTCGTAGTTTAATCCCAGCTTCTAAAATCCTATTATCACACTGCTGTGGTCTGTTGGGGTGCAGACAGCTCTGACCGAGACAGGAAGAGACTGAGCAAGCTAGTTCACAAAGCTAGCTCAATTCCGGGATGCCCACTGGATACAGTTGAGGAGACGTGTGAAAGGAGGATGCTGGGAAAGATGACCTCCATCTTAAAAAAAAAAAAACCTACCCACTGTGGAGACCAAGGACAGCTCCTTCTGAGACATCCCAGAAGTAAAACAGAACGCTACCGTAGGTCATTCACCCCCTCTGCAGTGAGAGTGCACAACTCCTCAGTTTAACTGGTACCGGCATTATCCTGTTACACAACACCACCGATGCAATACTCAGTATGTGTTCAATATTTGTGCAACACCAGATTTACATTGTATGCTGTGTAGTGTTGGAACCAAAGTACTTTCTTTTATTCGTGGATTTTAGTGGTCGAAGGTTACGATACTAGATTACTGCCTATGTGTATATACATGTACCTTATTTTTCTGTTAATTATTCTCCTAAGTCTTGGTGCTGCTGTAACAAGTGAATTTCCCCACTGAGGGATCAATAGTCAATTCTATTCTATAGCTGCCTCATATGTTGTTGTATTAGGCTGAAATACTTCAAATACCATGCCTTATATTCTCATGATCTTCTTTCTTGGTCAAGCTTCCTGGTTGGCTGTAGCTGCACGAATCTGCCATCATCTATCTTTAATATTATAGGTGAGTATTAGTATTATTACCTCCTTGGGGAGGAAGGCCTAACCATGCAATGAGAAGTGGTGTTTGGTGTTGCGTATCGCAGCAGGGACTGCCTAGGTTTCTTCAGAAACTTTTCATTGCTCTACAAATAAAAGGACCTTGTATGAACTTGTAATTAAATATTAAAGCTACAGAGCGCCATCTAGTGTCAAAAGGAAATCACTGAATTATAAAAAGAAAATTTCAAACTAAAGCTCCGTGATACGAAAATAGTTGGAATAAACTCACAACCTACAACTATGGAATGATAAATGACAAGAATCCCTGATAAATCTGGGCGGGTGTTGCCACTGATGCAAACGTTTCACCCCAGTTTATTATAGGAGACAGTAAAGTACCACAAACGTAACAGCGAGTCATCTGCTTCAACACAAATAGACCGAATCACTCTTTTTGGTTTAAGTCCCGTATATATAGTCCACAACATCACACACACACACACAGAGGTAAGAGTTGGAATAATGCCTTTAAACTCACGTACACACCACTCTGTCCCTTTGTACATTTCCATTTGCTCTCATTGATTAAAACAATAATAGCGAGGTGTTGACATGAAACATCCGTTTCCAGCTAAGAGCTGAGTGCAAGTGCCGTCCCTGATTTTAACCACAACACCACGGTTTGACTCCACATGCCCGTGTGTCAGGAAGCTAAGGTGTTGCTGCTGCTTGGATTGTGGCAGCAGCTTTTTTCATTCATGAAGTCAAAAATAAACTTTTTTTTTTAAGAGTCAAGGAATGTTCAGTAGGATGTAAACACAACAGAACTGTGTATGACTGAGGCAGACAATCAGATCTGGGACCAGCTATCCTGAAGATTCATCAACTGCAGAGGGGTGGATAATTATGGGATGCAGACGAGTGGTTGGGCACTCATTCCTCCAAGGTCCTGAAGGCGTTCTGCATGTCCTCCAGCAGCTGGGCGTATTCTGCTTTAATCTTAGCTTCACCGTCTTTAACAGGGTCCTGGAGAAGTCACAGAACAAAACACTGTTTTAATCTGGCGGTAACAAAGATGACCTCCATCAACAAAGAACGGCATCTACCTTGAACTTCATGGAGCTGATTTTGTACAGGATCTCTCCCATGTTTTCCCTGATCATGGCCCAGGTGATTTTGTTGTCGCTTTGAGCCGTGGTCTCCACCGCGTGTCGGGCCATGTCGTAGAACGCAATCATGTTGGAGAGGATGCCGACAGTCTTGTAAAAGGGACAGAACCTGTGGGGGGAGACAGAAATCGGAAGTGTTAGCATTCATATGGTTAAATGAACGAAATGTTCAGTTGCACACACAGATAATTATCTTATTTTAACGAAAAGTCTAATTTCCAAAAAATACACAAAACTCTTGAGATGCAGAATCAAAACCACGAGTATCTCCCCTCGCCCAGCATAGGCAGCTGTATTAAAGAGGGCTGCATTCCATTCCTGCAGCTGTACACACTCAGTAAAACTGCAAACAAGCAGAACATCCAAGTTCCAAGTACACATGCACTTTATCTGCTGTTGCAAGTTGCAGATCTGCCTCGAGAGCATATTAGCAGTGTCGATTCAATTGCTTCCTAGTCAGAAGCTGGGAAAGCCATTTGTCCCTAAATGCACCATCTGTGATTGACCAGAAACTGAACAATAGCTGCATACGGCCCTTATGGTCTTCCTCTAAAAACAAAGTACTCAGCAACAGCAAATGACTCGCACAGTTCTGGAAATGGGGAAAAAGTGATGGATGGTAGAGCGATGACCACAGAGACGGGAGGAGAGTCACAACTACATTACAGCGTGCATTTCAAAACCTCCAGCTGAAGAAAACAAAACACTACCTAACATAAAATGCAAACGGATGTGTGACAGGCCCTTTATGACTAAACTGCTCTTGTAGAAAACTCACCTGTCATAGGGGGTGTAACCGTTCTGCTGCAGGAAGTCATCCTTAATGAGCTTAGCCACCTCCAGGGTAATTTTATCAGTTTCAGCAAGAGACGCCTGCAAGAAAACAGTTGATGCTAAATTCCTCAGCGAGAGTAACTTCAGTACATTTTCCAGATGTTTGGAGGTGTTTTCATGTGAAACCTTTTAAACTCACTTTTCCTACAAGCTGCACAATCTCAGCCAGGTCCTCCTCCTCTTGGAGAATCTCCTTAGCTTTGGTCCGAAGAGGAACAAACTCGGGGAAATGCTTGTCATAATATTCATCCAGAGCTCGAGTGTATTTGCTGTAGCTGATGAGCCAGTTGACTGAAGGGAAGTGTTTTCTCTGAGCCAGCTTCTTGTCCAATCCCCAGAAAACCTACAGAAGATGAAACAGAGCCTGTTCACTCGTGTTTAACCAAACGGGAGAGCCAACAGCTGACGGCACACCGCTCGTTATTTACCTGAACAATTCCTAAAGTGGCTGAAGTGACCGGATCTGAGAAGTCTCCACCAGGGGGCGACACACTAACAGGTCATAAAGGAATAATCAGAATAACTGGTGAGGCTCATATCCAGATTTAACCTGCTGGTAAAAGTTAAAAAAAAAAAAAAAAAAATAGCGTGACCATAAAGGAACCACCGCTCAACGACACCCTAACGCCGACTCACGCTCCGACGATGCTGACGCTGCCCTCCCTCTCCGGGTTTCCCAGGCACTTCACTCGTCCTGCGCGCTCATAGAAGGAGGCCAGTCTGGCACCCAGGTAAGCAGGATAGCCGCTGTCTGCAGGCAGCAACAGTCACCGCTCAGGTAAAATTCTCCTTAAGAGTTCATTTCTATGAAGCTAACCCCTCAACACTCCCAGCATACCTAAAGTCAGGGACACAAAATGCTCTTGGAGGTCTGGGTCAAAATGGCCAGATTCAGTGTAAAGATGAGTCGTGTTCACCGATTACACGAGGACAAATAAGTACCAGTGCTTCTTTAACCTTTACTCTGCTGCTTGTACAAATCTTATTCAGGCTTCTTCTTTTATGTGCTCATTACTTTCCTTTCACGAACTTCACGGTGACCTCAGTATGGTTTTATGGACAATTACTGCTTTAAAAATAAACAGAAATGATACAGAAGATTATATTAGGATTGTTCTCAGGTTCGTTTGTGAGACACTGCTGTACCATCACGCCATCGGCCATTCTGACCCCAAACTCTACTTCTGAGTAGCACAAGACATGTGAACGAACTGTTTTCACCTGCTGATAGAAACAAATCCCGTGAGCAGTAAACCCACCAGCAGGCATCTCAGCCAATCTTCCAGAGATTTCCCTCAGAGCTTCCGCCCATCGAGACGTTGAGTCGGCCATCATGCTCACGTTGTAGCCCATGTCTCTGAAGTATTCAGACAGCGTGATGCCTGCAGGGGAAAGCCCCTGAAACTCAGCAGGTCTCTAAAATAACAAAAACTCAACAAAAGCCAGTTTGCACGACTTCTACAGACAAACAAGCGTGTAAACGTTAACTGGGACTGGTTAGGTACCTGTGTAAATAGAAGCCTCTCTAGCAGCCACAGGCATGTTGGATGTGTTCGCTACCAGCGCCGTTCTCTTCATGATGCTCTCAACTTTACCATCAACCTCCATAGTGAGCTGTCGGGCGAGAGAATGATGAACACTGATGCTTTACTAGGTAGTTTATGCTGGTTTAGAGTAACAAGCGTTTGGCTTCTTATCCTGGTTAAAATTAAACTATTCCTCCAGAATGAGGTGGTTCAAAAAGCCGTGAGCAGAAAGTGAACCCTTCACTAAAATGACAGAGACGCTACTGTTAATCCACCAACCTCGGGGAAATCTCGCAGAACTTCAGACATTTCATTCCCTCTCTCTCCACAGCCAACGTAGATAATCACATCACTGTTGGAGTACTTGGACAAAGACTGTGAGATGACGGTCTTCCCGCAGCCGAAGGCTCCAGGTATGGCGGTGGTGCCACCCTGCACACATCTAGACAGCATAAATGTCACACAGCTTGAGCATAAGAAAGGTCAAATGGACACCAGCACGTCCTGCCTCCATAGATCAGGAGCAGGTGTATTTACGGAGTTTCTTCACTCACGGGAAAAGTGCATCAAGAACTCTCTGACCAGTCAGCAGTGGATGATTGGCGGGTAGCTTCTCTGTTACTGGACGGATTTGTCGGACTGGCCACACCTGCACCATGGTGAACTTCTCCTTAACGCCTTCAAATTCAAGCTCCAGAACCACATCCTGGATGCAAAACAACCACGGGTTCATGCAAGGTCTATCCCACACAAACACGAGTTTGGCTTTAGGAGCAGCACTCACAGAAAGGTCGTAGTTTCCAGGTGGGGCCACGTAGGTGACGGTGCCCCTGTTGCGAGGTGGAAGCATCAGCTTGTGCTTAATCAGCGAGTTTTCAAACACACTACCATAAATGTCTCCACCTGTGATGTGACTGCCAACCTGCAGAGCAGAAAATATAGAATAAGCTGGATTATTTTCAGGGGTAAAAACACTCAACTTGATGAGGGAGTCATTTCTCACTCGTAGGTTCTGTCCAGGAGAAAACTCCCACTTGTTGTCTCTGTTAAGAGCACCGATGTTTACTCCTCTTGGGATGTAGATGCTCTGAGTGAGGTCATTAATGTCTTTCAATGGACGCTGGATACCGTCAAAGATGGAGCCCATGATACCTGGCCCAAGCTCCACAGAGAGGGGTTTTCCTGTTCGAAGGACAGGGTCACCGACAGAAACGCCAGCTGTGGCCTCAAGTTAAAGGAAACACAGCACGCCCAAACATTGCGCGCGCGCACACACACACACACACACACACACACACACACACACACACACACACACACACACACACACACACACACACACACACACACACACACACACACACACACACACACACACACACACCAGCTGCTGCCGGTGCATTTAATCCCGTATATGATTGGTTAAACCTGAGGATGGGACTCCAAGAGATAAAAAGATACACGTCTCCTCGTAGACCTGGATGGTTGCCATGTCGCCCTCTAAGCGTATGATTTCTCCCACCAGCTCACTGTGGCCAACTCGAACCAGCTCGTACATGGCAGCTCCGGCCATGGCAGTGGCCGTCACCACTGTTGATGAAGCAGAGGATTTTTTTCATTCGTCTTTCATCTAAACTTAAAATGTATTGGGTGATTATGCAACAATATTTAATCTTCAAACTGAAAGGGACAGAACCAAGATACAAACTTTAGCTAATAAATAAAATTATGAAATGAATCTTGATGTTTAGAGTTAATTTTATGCAGTCTATTGAAAATTAGCTACTAGTTCTTCCGTTTATATTTTGTGCGTCTGCTCTGTCTTCTCGTGTGTCGTGGCATCCAGGTTGTGTTAAAGGGGGGTTTTCCTGTCCACTGTCACTACACGCTTGCTTAGTATGAGGATTGCTGTAAAGTTGGGGACACAAGTCAGTGACTTGATGTAATCTCCAAGGTTTGTAGAGATGACTGCCTGTGATGTGGTGCTATATAAATAAACTGATTTGAATTCGATAGCCTTTACTAACATACTAACACATTGTGGACAAGCAATGAGAGAGGGGAGATACCCAACCTGGTCCAGAAACACCATGCACATAACCAAACTGGCTCTCCCGTTCCTCATCCTGGATTTTAGGAAGTGTTGATGTGTCCATTGTGGTTGTTTCTGTTGACAAAGAAGACACAAATGCTACCAAATCATTTAGATTCAATACAACCTCCAAACAAATGTGTATATTTTCTAAAGATTCAACACACGAAGTGTCTAATCAGCATCTTTCAAAGCAAACAGGCTGCAGTGACACAGCCTGTCACCTGAGATCTGGTTTATGTTTTAAAGGTTTGTATGAAAGATGAATGGGCTCATACAAAATGTAAAACCGTTAAACATTCACCAATGTTCTTTAACTCCATCACTCTGAAGCAAGAGGAAGTAAGCAGGGATCGTGGCCGAGAGCCAGACCCCAGAACAGATGGAGCTTTAATATGTTTGTAACTTCAGAGGAAACTGTGGAGTAAAGCTGATTTGTTCGTGACGGCAGAGGTCAGGTGACAAGCTAGCAGCGACTAGTTAAATCCATCACAACACACCAAACTAGCCACTACACACGTGTTGGCTTTACATACTGAAGTACAAACAAAACGACGTGCTTTACCTTAAACCGGTGCGTTGTTGTCCGGGTTTGTCTCTAATGTACCCGTCTGAGGAGGAGCTACACGGTGCTAATCACCTGCCGACCACAGGACCGTCACGGGAAGAAAACACCTCCATTATGGCTCCGGCGGCTTCCTCTGCTACACCACGGCTTGCTATTTTCAGATCCAACATGGCGCCTCCAGTGCAACAGTTTCATGGTTGATGCATTTCCGTCGCTTTAACCACGTGACCAAGCCTATTGCTGACCTCTGCTGGATGAAGTGAGAAATACACCTTGATGAACAAATCATTTGTAATGTATAAATCAATGCTTTGGAAGACATAAAAACTAAATGAATCAACAATATTTATTTTTAAACAATAAAAAAAGTAAAATAGTTACAAACCGAGCTATCACAAAATAGCAACCATGTATAAAAGAGGAAATGATATAAGAATGTAAAGATCTGCACCATATTGTAGTTTTTACCACTAACTTCAACATAGTAATAGATGTGTTCATATGTCCCAGTTACTCATGACAGGAGCCAGCAAGAGTCTGATACTGGAGACCTCCAGACAGTCGCTTCATGTAATATTTAATAGTTGAGACTTTATTTTCTTAAGCCAAAAGAACATACTGGGCCAACTGTTGCACATACAATATGTCTGCATGAATCTGCTTGTTTACAGCCAGGAAACAGATCCTTCAGAAATCATGATATAAGTGTTTCACATGCTTAAAAACGAGTCTCAGAGACAATCAGGTCCTTCAAACTAAAGACAAATGAAGTCAAATAAAATTGATCCACTCGAGTGGAAGATTAAAGGTCACTTATGGAATCTTTACTTTCAACCTTGCTGCCTTCAGGGTGCTCTGCAGGTTTAGGGTTAGGTTTACCTGAGGGGGGAGCTCAGGTGGTGGGTGTGTGTAGCCATACAAAAGGTTCAGGAGCTGAGTCATAGTAAAGAGAATCACATTTATGATACAACTTTAGGAAGACAACAACACGGTTTGCTTTAATGATGAAATGACAGACAGAAGAGTAGAGTCTGAGCCATGTACCCTGTTGGTAACACGAGACTCTGCCACGTCAGTGATGTGGTCCACAGGTGCTGGTGCTGGGTGTGTGTTTCCAGGGATGTAATCATTAGACTTGGCATAGTTAGAAGCAGCCTGCAGGTACTGAAGGTATTGCATGGCCCAAACAGTCAGCTTTTAGATAAACAGTGAAGAAAAGGGAATGTGATGCAGATGCGTCCACATCCCAGTGTCTTTTTGTGTTTCTATCTTTGTTATAAAATCACAGCAGAGGGTTAGAGCTGGGCTATGGGTCAACATCTGAAAGCACACCTAATTTGAATAATACAAGAGTAAATGTCTTGTTTGATTCCAGATAATACCAACTCACATTCAGCCATCATTAACAACAGCATGGCTTCAGAACAAGAGTCCAGGTGCTAAATCAGAAAGAAGCCAAACGTGTCTGCTCAAGCCAAACAATACATTAGATTTCCTATATATGGTCTAAAATCCCATGAAATACTCTGACCTGCCATGTGGAGAGCGAGCTCTCAGATGACGCCGCTCGCTGAAGTGTTTGCTCATGGCGGTGATCTGGATGAAGCTCCTCGTTGAATACCATCATGTTCCACTTTAACCTTGTTTTCAGCCTTTCTCTCCTTCATCTCTCTCTGAAGCATGCTGCTTTCTGTAAAGGTGCAAAAGAGCGACCGAATGTCCTCGGTGTCCTGAAGCATCTGTTGTCTCCATAAACCAAAAGGTAAAACAAGTCAGAATAAAATTTCATGACATATCGGGAATCCTCTGTTTACATAAAAAGATATTTGGATAGTGATGAATTTGCTTGGAACGTGCATCTCCTTCCAAACACAGACTTCTAATGACTGGTCTTGTGAACAGCAATGACGCTGACATCACCCAGGTTCTGATTTACAGCAATTCATACTGACTACATAAAAATGACTGAATAAAACTCCCATCAAATCCAGGGAATTTGACAGGTTTCATTATGTTTTTATTCCTTTTAAGGCAATCAAACAGGATCCTTTTGATGTGTTTTTCAAAGCTTTGAACACAGTTTGAAGTCAGTTTTTATAGGAAGTGGCAACAAGAGTTTTCATGCATGAGCTCCTCCTGATTTCTGGTTTAAAAGCACGTAAACGCATGATTTGATCAGACAGCTGAAGGATGATGGAGAGTGTCAGCTCTCTGCTGATCCCATCCAACATGGCCCCGCGTGGGGCCGTGGCTTCACGCTTCTCCATATAACTCCACAGCATCTGTAACAAACACGGTCCTCATGATAAGATAAACAATTTTTATCCCACAGGTGTCAATGCTTTCAGCTTTTCTTTGTTTCAGTAATTAGAAAAAGAAAACAGGAAAATGTGAAACGAACAGACAAAACTAAAGTGACGCTTGTTGCTGAATGTTCTAGTTTATCACCACCTGTCAAAGTGCTGGGCCCGTCAGGCAGCAGCTGTTCCTTCCATCACAACAATGCTAAAAACAAAGGTTTTGTTTCAAATTCAATTCACACGTCCTGTTTAAACGGACCTGACAAGCAAAGCTCGATGATTACAGGTTGGGGCGATCCACTTATTCAGTAACAACAAGGCTAAAATTACTGATAACCCCTGATTTTTACAACTTTATCGATTCGCCACTGTCAGAAACAACAAAGCATCGTTTAGCAGCTCTATGAGACGGCAGTGCAAAATTGAAGGATTAAAGACCAAAGATAGGCTTAAATAAGTAAAATGCATTAAAAATAAAAAAAATAAATGACAAGAAGACGTCAAAAGTCCACATCCTGGAGTGAAGGAGTTTAGTTTTATGAATTGTGCCGCTTCGATTGATTAATTCTTTCTTATTTCAAGCCACTTGCCAGTTGCGCCCAACAATTGTAACAAGTCTCTCTCTCTCTCTCTCTCTCTCTCTCTCTCTCTCTCTCTCTCTCTCTCTCTCTCTCTATATATATATATATATATATATATATATATATATATATATATACATATATATATATAATTTAGGGTAGCTTGAAATGGAGTGGGATGAAGAAACTTATTTTTTTTTTAGCTTTGGAGAAAAAAAAGTTTCTCAAAGCCTGTTTGCTGCAGATCTGACGAGTCTCCTAACAGAGGGCAGCAGTGAGAGCAGATGATGTCTAGGGGTGTGTGCTCCTTCAGATCACAGCTGACCCTCTGCAGTCGGACAGGACAAATGTATCTAAAACACTGTCCAGCAGTGGGACAAGAAGCTCCTCAGCTTCATATGGATGCTGGGTCTCCTCAGATCCAGCAGAGTTCTGCTCACCCCGTGTTCAGTGGTCCTTCATCTTCTGAGGTCATCTCCTTGCTTTTAACCCTCCCACTGTCCTAATGGGTGTGACCCCACGAGGAAAGTTGACCATTGAGCAGGGTTGATGGTTTATCCCTTGGGTCCATGTGGCAGGGGTGAGGAGAGAGCACCACCTCACCCCTGCCACATGGACCTCAAGGGATAAACCATCAGTCCTGCTCAATGGTCAACTTTCCTCGCGGGGTCACCCGTAAAGACAGTGGGAGGGTTAAATGTGTAGCTCCAGGTTAAGTGAGCAGTTTATTCTATTTTCCACCATTTTCTCTATTCAGAAATTCGTCTTTTATTAGGATTTTGTCATGAGCTGGGGTGAGTACTCCTCTGAACTTTCCACCTTTGAGTTGTGTGTTGCAGGAGAGGGAGTTTCCTAGCTGCACCTGGTTAGCAATTAGTGGGCCCTGCTACTTAAGGAGGATGGAGAACACACCTCGATGCCGGATGATTGCTACAGCTTGGTAGTGTCCAGCCCTCCTCGTGTGACTTGGTTATCGGATTCTCTAGTGTTTATGAACTTCTGTGATTTTTGGATTTTGTGGTTACCTGCCTCCAGGTTTTTGGAACATCTCTAGATTCAGCAATGCCTCAGGATTATTCACTCGTACTCCATAGGATATCTGTACTCCGCTCGCGTTCTCCATCCATCCCGACCGACCTGCTCTCCTGCTCACCTCATGCTCCCTCTCCTGGACCCCCCCCAATTGGATACACCCCGGCTCTCACCCTGCCCTCCCTCATTCCTGCACTTTCCCTCAATTCCCAGTAGGTATTTTCTCTGCACCTTCCTGGTTATAACTTGCCTCCCTGGACTCACCTGTATTTGCTCCCACCCCTCCCCAGACGCTGCGCTCCCGTTCTGGTTTAAAGTGACAGTGTGTAGTTTTTACCATTGATCTCTGGGAATTTCCATTGAAATATTGAAAATGTCCAGTCGAAAAATATTAGCAGCTTTATACCAAATAACCATATAACCAGTTCTAAAATGCATGGGTGTTGGTCTATGGGGATACCCTACTGGACGCCATTTTCTTTTTACGTAGGTCCTGCGCCTGCCGATGTCACATTAGATGAATGGCTGGATGTATGAATTAAGTTACGTTACACATTCCAAAACATTTAGGCAAGAAACATGAATTTAATAAACTCTTTCCAATAAGAACAGAATCGAAAGAGATGCAATCTGTTTGGCCGAGTGATGTTGCCGTAGTTTGACGTTATCGGTAGGCGCAGGACCCTGAGCAGATCTGGAAACTACAGCACCAGAAAACTAGCATCAGCGTTGCATTCTCTAGATGGAATTAGCTGAAAGACCACCGAAGTCTGAGAAGTCATGCGGAGGTCGCGTGCTTTCTGCTGCACAGGTAACATTTATCTTAATGTTTTTTAACTGCCTTCGCTGCCAGCGTTTCTCACCGTTTTTACAGTTTTTTTAAGAGTCACAGAACATTCGCGCGCTAGGATTATGTTGACGCCAAAACAACCAAAACAAAGAGGAGACTCACCTCTTACATCAGGAAGAATCCGTGTGTTTGGATCGTTATCCGTTCTTTCATAATCCGTTGTTGAATTGTGATCGGCAGATGCTTTTCTGGTTCGCACCTCACTTTTTTTACAGGAATGGCCCAAAACGATCTCCTAATACATGGATGTGTTGCTTCCTGATCATGTGACATGTGACGTATGCGGATGAAGATCGGCTTCAGGGCTGAGATGTTTGTTCTCTCAGCGCGGGGGCTCGTTCTGATGCTCAAACAGTAAAAAAAAATGCAAATGACGACTTTAGTTGTCACTGGCATTGAACGGTTGGATCTAAAATG